GTTGCTTTTGACCCAACTCTATCACTTGCTGATTCTAGCTATTAAAGTGATATATTTCAGATGCATTCAATAGCACTTTAACCCTTAAAGCTTAACAGCTTTACATTCGAGAAATACAAAGGTTCGATATCGGAGGATGTTTCATTTTATGATCGGATCGCTTTCGTCTTAGTTGCATATTGTGGGGGCAAATACTTACGCATAAATATATTAATTTTGCTCAAGTAGCATATAATTTCCATTCATAAATTCCTGCAATGGAATTTTAGGTTTTTCTACAATTAGCAACGCTCAAACTCAAACTAAAAATATATTTTATCAATTACTCGACCTTCAGACTCGATGAATCGAAATTTCTGCACAGTCTTCAGTGTATATAACAAATGTGATCTAAATTTATATCTGTCGAATCGTTCAATTGATGAATTGCACTGAAACAGAAATGAAAAAGGTGATGTTTGCTGTTTAATTTATTCAGTGTATTTGGCTGTTAACTTTATTTTTGAAAAGAATTAAATAAAATTTCAGGTAAGTTAGGCCAAGAATTAATAAATGTAAAAAGCTTGTACAAACGAATATGGAAATGAAAATTTTGCAGATATTTGAATTTTAATATAAATGTAAATTAACTTAATCAAACTATTTTTAATGAGAATCTCTACGAAAACATACATTACTTGACACCGGAATAAAAACTGAAGACAACTACAGAAAGTCCAAAATATCCTTTTTTCCCCCCAGATCTAATTTTTGCAATGATTGCAATTAAAGCAATGATTTATATTATTCGTAAGTACCAATTAAAAAAAACTTAAAATCTATTCAAACTGCATTACATTTTATTAAAATCTTAAACCTACATCAAACGAACATTCCCCGATGCAGCAACTTTTGCTTTAATATCACCTAGTACATAAATGTTTTGATGCATAAAGATTACAAATAAAATTACAAAACAAAATGCATTTCAGTTATATTTAACTAGTTTGCATACATTTCATTTACATAGAACTAGCTATTACATTCAATTTTTGGAAGTGACGTAACAGAATTTCTAAGGAATATATTATTTAATAACACGTTTTAATCCGAATCCTACTAAATAGTTATTTTTAATTAAAATTACTTTTTCTAACCCAAAAGGGGTAATTAGTCTCGAAAGGGGATTTTTAGGTAGGTTCACGCTAAACGGCGAATTGCGTTTCATATTTTTGCAACCAAAAGTTACTGCCATTTTAAGAAATTAAATTATGAAGAATCTGCATGTATATATGTTCCTCGCACTGTGAGAAAACTACTGTACTTTAGGACAGGAAATATTGACCTATGTAGTCCTGAACATAGGCACCTGCAAGCCAGAATTTTGAATTTCGGATTTTTTTATTATTTATTTCATATTTTGTAAAACTTTAATGAATTTTTGATTCATTAAAGTTTTACATAAAGTTTTACAAATTTCAATGATTTCAAAGCGAGAAGTGGCAACACTGTACGGATTAAAATTTATCTCCAGCGTTTCAGACTATCTATCCGAAATTCTAAAGATATACTGTTTTTAAATATTTTGTGATTTTGCCATTCAACTGAATTTTATGCAACGCAAATGCGAAGAACATGATATTTAATTAATATAGTTAACACACAAAATGTTAATAATAAAAAGACAAAAAAAGTTTTGCAAGCCGTCTTACTTAGAGAAATGGATATTAATATGATGAACCGAAAAAAAAATAGAAAAAGATATACTAATACTTAACACTTCGGAATTTCTAAGCATATGCAGCCATGGTCTTTTAAAATTTTGGTATTTTGCTGCTGATCTGTATATGGCACAAACGTGAAGAAAATGGTGCTAAAATGACAAAAATGGGTTAGCAGGAGTGAATGCAACTTAAAACTGGTAGACTGCAAGTTCAGAAACAACGTAGATCTTAACAAATCGTTTTGGTAAATCGTTAAAATCTGACACCTTTCAGTTTATTAATCCAAAGGGGCTATGGAGGACTATTGTTTCGCTTTGCGATTTTGCGTCAAATCACTCTGAACACCCATTTCACTTTTCAAACTGTTGCCACCAAATATTTTCGCCCTGTATTATATTTGAAGAAATCAAATAATGAAGAATCTGCATAAATGGATGGATGTTTCGCGTATTGTGATAAAACAATGGTACCTAGAGCCATCAAATTTTGAATGACGTAATCCTACTGCGAATATGGGCAACTGGGAAGCCCAGATTTGAAATTTGGAATTTTTTTATTATCGATTTCATATTTTGTAAAACTTTTACGAATTTTCGATTAACAAATTCAAGGATTTCAAAGCGAGAAATGGCAACGTTGTACAAAAAAAAAAAAAAAAAAAAAAAAAAAAATATTTACGTACAAATTTGAAATTTGTTTTATTGTCTATTCATATTTTGTAAAACCTTAACGAATTTTTGATTAACAGGCTCAGGGCTTTAAAGTGAGCAATGGTAACACTATTCGGAAGGGGGGAATTATCTCCAGCGCGTGAGACTGTGTATCGGAATTTCTAAGGATATGCTCATTTTAAAATTTTTTTGCGATATTGCTGTTGAACTGAATTTTATGGTTTAAGTGCGAAGAACATGATATTTAATAAATAAAGGTAACACACAAAATGTTAAAAAAAAAAAAAAAAAAAAAAAAGCCCCTTTGGACGCAATTTAAAATCTAAAACCTTTCAGATTTTCTTTTTCTTAGTGTATTTTTTTATTTTATTCTTTATAAGCTTTTATTTTTTGTTTTTCTTCGAAACGCAATTTTGCGTTGCTCACTTTTCATTCGAGTCTGTAGCTATTCGGTAAAATGTAAGATAGTTCCCTTTCAGGTTTGATCCGCCTGCGATTGATTAACAAATTAAGATATTTAAAAGCAATAGAAGTCGATTTTAATAGTATTATTTTCTTTACTTTTGAATCTGGTGTAGTTAAATAAAACTGCTTTTAATTCTTCATATAGCTAATTAAAAACATTATATATTTTCTCACTTTTCAAATATAGAGAAGATGTACAACGTTCCCATGTTAGTCTAAATGTATATTCATATGGTATGCTGCAAAATGTTTTGCTATTCTACCCGGACGCATATTTCACAAGTGCACATCTGTGTAGCAACCGAGGGTGTGGCTTCTAGAATGGACCAATGGGCATCCAGTAATAGTTCTGTCATGTCACATGAACTTTCGTCGCGTGCTTTAAGATTTAAGCAAAATGCTTGAAAATATTTTGCCACGCAATTTTCTGTACAAAATAATTAAAGCATCGTCGATTTCTTCTGAAAATTTTCATTGCGAAGTTATATCAAATATAAGCAAATGTGAGATTTCACTACCTGATGAAAGAATTTAAAATAAATACAAAACATTTTGGATACTCAAAAATATCAGGGAAAATTACTAATAAGTGGTAAATAAGATCAAGAAAGAAATATGTGATAAGCATTTTTGAGCCCAAATATTATCTTTACATAAAACTATGTATGAGAAAAATATTACACAATTATATATGTATATAGAAGTCAGCACTTTTATTGCAGTCTATATGAAAAAATATTAAAAAAAAACTATGCACTTGAATTTTCTTAACCACGATGTAAATAAAGCAAATATTCGAGGCTACTTATAGCTGAGTTTTTCTCAGTGTAAAGAGCGATAGTATGCAGTGAACATCAATCCAAAATTAAGCGTGATAAAAATCGCGAACGTGAAATATCAGAAATAATAAACTTGTCAGCGATAATAAACTCATGAAACGAAAGCATACCAGATTTTTTTACTACGCCAGACATTTTTAACCGAAACAAATGCCAATTAAAAACGTAAAGACTACGCTGCACATGCATGAAGATTTAGCGTCACAAGAGCAGCAGAAGCTCATTGGTCCATTTTCGAAACTCCTCCCTTAGTGGCTACGCTGATGTGCACTTGTAAAATATGCTACCCGCACCATCTCTTTCATGATATAAATCTGATATTAAATAAATTAATGAACCTTTCCTAGTGATCTACTGCAAAAGAAAATGATTGCTTAGAAACTTCTGGGATTTTCGCGTTCTCAAAAGATCGAGTCTTTCCAAACCCAAGCTAGGTGTGTTTTATAAATATGACTCGAGCTTTTTAATCACAGTATACCAAATGGCTTTAACAACCGCTTTTACCTGTCGCTGTCTTAATATATATATATATATAGCGAAAAGGGGAAAAAAATCTGCGAACTCTCAGATTTGATATTACTCCCAAAAGGAAGGGATTTTTTTCATTTTCACACATACACATGTTTCGAAAGGATTTGGGCTCATGTCCCTTTGGGCTAAAATATTTAAAAACAGCATATCTTTAGAATTTCCGATAGACAGTCTCTCGCGCTGGAGATTTAAAAAAAAAAAAAACATTTCTTTTTTTTCCCCCAGTGTTGCCATTGCTCGTTTTTAAATTTGAGTTGTTAATCAAAAATTGTTAATTTTTACAAAATGAATAGACAATAAAACAAATTCCAAATTAGACTCCGATGCATATTCGGGTGAAAGATACATTAGCAAAATTCGATGGCCCTAGGTACCGTTGTTTTTTAACCGTACGAGAAACATACGTACGTGCATACAGATTCTTCATTATTTAATTTCCTTACATATAATACAGGACGATAATATTTGGAGGCAACAATTTTGGAAAGTGATACTTCGCTTTTAGTGATTCAACGCAACATGCAGTTCTGAGACTTATAGCCCTTCTGGGCTAACGTTAATTTGGGCTAATAAGAAAAAACAAGCAAAGAAAAGAAGAAAAGCAGAATACTACATTTATTCAGAAACTTCAATTCAGGTAAAATGAAAGTCGCTCTTAATAATGAACAAATGTATTTTATGAGAGTATGTTAAAATCTGCAGTTTGGAAATTTAGAGGCTATAGATGCTTAGTACAAAATGAGTCTTGTTTATTATTTTTCCATAACAATGCGGCAAGAAATAAATCTTACCTTTCTAGCGAATGTCACCATTCCTTTAGGCTGCATCTCTAATTTTTCAAAGTACCGTAACAGAACCTTTAATTTCTTCTGATGACTACGCCTAGAAACAGTCAAAAAACGTTTAAAATATTGTCGTTTCAATAAATTAAACTATAAAAGATATTTTTAATATATTGATCTAAAAATCTCTAGAAATTCATTTCTTGGGTTAAGAATATTAACGTATTTAAATATTGCATTCAAGATTTCTTTGGAAATTGTTCCAACTGTTTCGAAACTAAATATTACTAAGATAGCGAAGAGAAATGAAAACAGGAGCATTACAGAATTGGAAACTTCTTTCAAGAAAGTGAATTTGAAAACCATTTGCAGCTGAAATGATAAAGGCTTTTACTTTAGCTGAAATGATAAAGGCTTAAGTCACACAAAGAAACTGAAGTATTTCACCTCAGTCATGTTTAAAGCTAATAAATACTTAACGCACAGTTTGATATTTGTCGAAATGAAAGAATTATATAAGGGATTGTGTCCCCAATATTGGAAATTACGATCATTCACTTTTAGTAAACAAACTCTACCGAGTCATGTTATGTGACAAGGAAAAATGTCTTCTATAAGACTGAAAAAAAAAAGAAAAGAAAAAGAAACTTATTTTCATAAAATGCAAATTCGTTACAAGTTACGGTTTCACATACCTCTCTATCTTGCGAAAGTAGAACACGCTGTTGCTAATCTGCTGCAGCTAAGTATTGGCATCAAAAGAAAATTTCCATCTTTGCGAAATATTTACACTATTAGAAGAATTTGCTGCACTATCATAATAAGTTTCTTTATTTTTTATCTAATATACGTTAACGTAAAACAATTACTTAAATACTGCCGCACAGACGGTAAAGTGGTTAGGGACGCTGACTGAGATTCTTTGATTCGAACCCGGGCCCACAGAAAAGGCATTGATGTTTGTAAATGTATAGCATCTGAGAAAGTTCTTTCGAGAGGTTGCGGTAGGGGAAGAGTAGTGGGAGACCGTCGAACCTATCCTTAGGGTGCTGCTACTGTTCCTAAACACAACAACAGCTTCACCACCAAGTGGGACAGAATCGACATATGAATTTGGTCATTTGTTGCGCAGTTAAAGAGAGAAACTAAGATATCTTGCATACAGTGCATAGGCTAATTCATTTTAGTCTACAATAACATTGCATCGACGAATAATTTTTGTCAATGATGTTAATATGTTCAATTTCTCTCTCTGACTGCGAAACAAATGACCACTGATTAAGTACATTCCTCTGTCGAACTCTGCTCAGCACCCCCTAGATACAAAATGTTAAGTTCTAGGAGGTGTTGCTCTAACCCCTTGGCGGTGGAGGCGCAGGCCCCTTGGCTAATACATTTTCCACCAAGCATTCATTAATCCGTTTGGTTTTCGCCTTAAGTTCGGAAGCTTCCTCAGTCACGTTACGGAGTGCTCTCCTTTAACCCCTTAACCGCCGCGGAAAACGTACAAGATTCATTTCCCAGTGCCACGTTTTTCACAAGGCGCGCAGCAGTTATGCGTGATTAGGGGGAAAAATAAGGCAAGTTTACTTTCTAAACTGTTTACTTTCACAAAAATAAAGAATAAAAGAAAAAATGAATCACAAAATTTGAGTAAAAGTAAATAAAAAGATGTAAGTATATAAAAATGAGGGTTTATAATAAAAAAAGCCCAAATGGAGTTTCGATCAATTCATTTTTAGACCAGTAAAGTCTAATATCAGGTTTCAGTGTTATACCTTGTGAAATCAAGTATGCCTAAAAAAACACATATTTCTTCTGAACTGGTTGAATGTCAAGATTTTGTTCTTGATTTTTCGTTTGCAAGGTGTTGGTTCATAACTCGTCTACAAAACGGTTAGTTTCAGTAAAATTATGAAGCACGAGCTGTTTATCAAACAACAAAAAAAAAAAAAAATTCAAAAAAGATAAATTGGCTTGAAACATCCATTATATCTTTCTTTATTCTTGGAACCTACTACAAAAAGTAAACAACATGGAGGACCAGGACAAAAAAAAAAAAAAAAAAAAAAAAAAAAAAAAAAAAAAAAAAAAAAAAAAAAAGAAAAAAAAAAAAAAAAAAAAAAAAAAAAAAAAAAAAAAAAAAAAAAACAAAAATAGCAATCGCGGACTTACTTACCGTTTAAACACTCTCTTGTTCTCCCACAACATGAAAGTTTTTCCTTTGCATCTTTTGTTGGTTATTGTGGGTGCATTCCAAAGCTTTGCGAATAATTTTAGGTATAGGTAGCGAAAGCAAATGATAGCAGTTGGAAGGAGTTATATAGCCCGGGGCAGTTAACGCATCGGCTGGCAAGGCGTATATATACGCCCGCGGCAGTTAAGGGGTTAAAATTGGGGCTGAACTGAGCAAAACTAGACTGTCACTTGCAAGATACTCAAAGCTCAGGCCAACGACGACGCTATCTAATAATCCTTGTCACAGAAGTAAATCCTGTACTTGTTCTGATTCAGACAAATGAGATTAGTAATAACAACAGCAACACGAACTACTTTCGTTTCGGACTTACTTTCGTTTTTGAGGGACTTTTCTGTTTTGTTAGCCCCATCCATTACTGGACTATCCAAGTTTTGTAATTCTTCAAATTTCTTCTCTAAATTATGGCATTTGGATTCTGATTCGATAATATCATCGGGTTCCTCTTTTTTGGTGTCTTCATATAACTCATCCACGTTTATGAATCCGCCTTGCCACTTTTCTCGATTTGATTATCTTTTTCATGTTTACAAATAATGCCCTGTCGCGGACGCCATATGTTATAAACTACCATCATTCTTTTTTAGAAAACAAACTTCACAGAGTCATGTTATACAGCAAGAAAAACTAAGAGTACTAAACACATAAATTTGTTTTCAGATAAAGCAGGTTCTTTACAAACTATGATTTCACATACCGCTAAGAGTATGCGAAAGTAAAACAGACTGTTGCCAGTACGTTGTAGCTGAGTATTGGCATCAAAAGATGTGGCTGGTCAGTAGGCAATACCAAAGGCGACCAACTGTTTTTTTATTCTTGTAATATTGTCAAGAAATATTTAATTCTAAACTATCACTAATTTAATCCGAGCAAAATGTTTTAAATTTATATTTGCAAGTCTTATAAAGTTCGCCTAACTTAGCTTGTACGGACATTAGCACAAACCAATTTAAGCGTTCTTAGAAGAAACCTAAATAGCAAAAGCCAGCTTAAATGTATAGAGCACAAATATACTTTATCTTGTTTTTAATTAATTATTGCCGTCACAAACCAATATCTGTAGTGGAATTTCAGATACCAAGCAAAGAAAAAAGTTAGAACTGGATATTTATTGCCTTACCCGTGAACCTTACAAATTAAAAATCAAAATTTTAAAAATAATTATTTTTATTTGTAGTGTTTGAATTAACATAGACTATTTAATTTAAATAGCACATAATCATATCTGCAATTCAGTCTTCAACTCATACTCGGCTTACTTCTCGTCTGCCTGGAACTAATACTACAAATACATTACTCGACATTGAAAATGCACCACCAAGAAGGAGTGGCTCAGACGCACGTTACCGAGTTGTGCGAATGATGTGAAATGTGCAGCTCTCCAGCGCAAGTTGAAGCAGTGCATGCGTCCACAGTGCACCGTCTGTCGTCTGTGGCAACGATGGTTGGAACAAGGAAATGTGGCAAGTTCGAGGGGTGCCGATGCAGCTAGAGTAACGCCACACGTTGATCGACGCATCCGCCGACAAACGGTGGCTCACCCGCAATCCATTTCTGCCTCCATTCTGCAACATGTTCAAGAACACCCTGGATGTTCCTATATCGACCAGAACCATTTGCTGTCGATTGGTGGCTAGTGGCCTGCACTCTTAGCGTCTGTTAAGAAGACTGCCATCGACCCCACATCATTTTTATATTCATTTGTTTATAGACACATCATTTGTTTATAGACGCCAACATCTGCAATGGTACTGGGCTCGAGCGATGCGGACGACGAAACGGCACAGGTTTATGTTCTCAGATGAGTCACGCTTCGTTTTCTTTAATAATAGTCGCCGCGTACAAGTGTTGCTTCGATGTGGAGACAGGTCCAATCCGGCAGCAACTGTGGAACGACCCGGCAGCAGCGACTGTGGAACTGTGGTATGGAGAGCAATTTCGTACGATTCCAGGTCACCTCTAGTTCGCATTCAGGGCTCCATGACGGTACACGAGATGACTTCGCCATATACGGGAGACAGGTCCAATCCGGCAGCAACGACTGTGGAACTGTGGTATGGAGAGCGATTTCGTACGATTCCAGGTCACCTCTAGTTTGCATTCAGGGCACCATGACGGTACACGAGATGACTTCGCCCTATACGGCGTTTTCTAACATTGTTACATAAGGTTACTTGTATGAATGCTAAATGAATGGCCATCATTTAAATACAGATGATGTTTATTACCGTTTATAGGGCTTTTATTGCTATGAATTATCCGCGGTATATATACCCAGCTACAAGTAGAATATAACGGATTACTTTTACAGAATGTTATAGTATTAAATTAGCTAGATAAACTATAAGGGTTTACGAAAATATAATTTTTCTGATTAGTTTTTGCCTTATTCTTTTAAAAAAATAACACTTTATCTAAAGTTGTAGAATTTCTTTCAACTGGCAGCAACGGGACCTTGCCGATTCCGGATAAGATATTTTTCCGGATAACTGAACATTTATTTCTAGACTTTACTTGTGCATGCTATGGAATGACATCTGTAGAAACTGTTTCTCTCAGGTCTAAATTTCGGATATAAATTTAGACCTTCGAAAGTCTCGTTGTATTGCTGGTTAATGGAGTGTCGTTTATGAAAGATTTTACTATACGTATTTCTGTTGATAAATAGACTTAAATCTTCTACCTTTCCTTCATTAATATCTGCTGGTATATGAATATATATTCTGGAGAGTTTCAAAACAAAAATATAAACTACTATATGGAGATACAACCTTTGATTTATACGCTTTAAATACCGATTTTAAATCATTTCTAAAAAAAAGAACTAATACTAAAACATTTCCTTTTTTCCGAAACATTTAAATAGGTTCAAAATTGCTCGTATTAATATTTTCCCACTTACTTCGTGAGGTATGTGAAAAAATCTGCAAAACTGAAGTCTTGTAAAGTTGGATGAGTTTTTGAATTGCGCTTTGGGAAAGTCGAAAAAAATGCATTAGCGAGCAATGAGGCGACGAAAGGACGCTCCAATGCAAACGTACTGTCTGAAAGTAAATGAAAATTATAAGTAAATAAATAATAAACGACAATGAAAAAGAATAATTTAAACCTAAATTAAATTATAATAAGTTTTCAGACTTTAAAACTGTCCTTTCTACTCGTGAAAATTCAGAAAACTGTAATTAACAAAATATATCGTGCAATAATTATGATGATTAAGAATAAAGAAAATATATCTTTTTGTTTTCATTAAGTATGAAAATAACAAAATTAAAAATTATTAAAATTTTACTTTATAGGATCTGCTTTATCGATTGCAAAATCTTACAGCAGCTAAATGAAAATAGTACAGATACCTTCTTTTTTCAAGCTGTATAAAAATCCACTAGGAGGTTTGACAATGCGAAGATTCAGAGCCTGAGATACCATCGTAGGCAGAGTTTCAGTGAGAAATTTTGACCTTTCTTGTTCAGTCATTATATCGTCTATGAAAAATCGCAATTCTTGAAATCCGCTGTGTTCGCTCTTTGGCTGATTGTCATCCGGATCCAATGATATGCTAAAAATTAAAGGAAGAGTGTGAATAAGGAGAGCAAAATTTTTCTTTTATAACAGTATTTACTTATTTAATTCTTCCCTACCCTTTCCTTTTACTAATTTTACCGTCTGAAAATAAGCAGAAGAAAATTATGAGATTATCACCACTTCTGTGGTTAAAAAAAAATTAAACGATTCAGGATCTTATGTCAAATAATGTACTGACTTTCAGTCACTGTCATATTCTGACATCAAGACGTTCAGAATTCTTCAACACAGAGTGATCCCACCCAAATCATTATGCAATGCAAAGAAAATCTCCCAATGATTGTTTGAATTTCTAGCTGAACGCGGTCACAGCAAATTATGAAAGCATTTAAAATCACGCCTAATCTCCATATAAATGGTATGAAGCACCTAAACACACCAGCTAGTCAACAAATGAATATGAATAAATCACAAATGGTATAAAAAACGAAAGTGCTGAATAATAACCAAAGTATGTAAAAGGACTAAGTACATGAATTGTACCTATAAGCGATGAATGGCTAGGTATGATGAACATGCAGTTAAATACTCCACCAGCCAAAATAAATCTAGGCTTATGAATAGATAACCGGTGACACCACCAGCGATGGCAGAGCTTGCGATGTCTGTTGCACCAGACGACAGCAGCACCTCGGCACCAGAATGGTACCGTGGGCCCCAGTAAGGCATTGCTACTAGAAGGATAGTTAGAGCAAAGAGCCCTATACCTATTTACTCAGGGTAAATAATAGGTAGCCCCTGCAATTATACCTAACCTTGTAAGGATCTTAAGTTTTACTAACGTTTATTTTAATTTAAATCTTTACTATCACTTCTTATTTTCTACTTCCGGCCAGAATTATAAGCGTTAAGGTTTTATGCAAAGTTTCTGGCGAACGCCCAAGTATTTAAGTTGTGGCTTTTTGCCAAGAAGAGAGGGAACATGAGTCGAAGCAGACCTTACCTTAGAAGTTACGCGTGTGCTGTTTGCCTTCCAGGCCAGAGGTTTAATCTTCTTGATAAATTAAACGTATGTAGTGTTCACAGTTCTCTGTTACACAACCTCCTGTTAATATAAGGCAATCTTCCACGTTTATTATTTAAAGTTAAATTAGAGTTTAGTTTTATTTTTACTTTAATTTTGACCCCAGGTAGCGGGCGGTGTATTCGAATACGGAAGTCATTGTAAATAGAGAAAATAAAGGGTTGTAGACCCTTCTGTGTTCAGTTTACTTCCCCGGTTTGAACATAGCTTAACTCTCTGTTCCGAGTCAGGTCCTTGCATGTTCCCGAAGAAGGTTAGAAGGAACATTGAACCTGATAACCTAACCTATACAGAGAAGAGTATAGAGTAATCATAGTATACGGTACACAACGGATTTGGCGAATTTTGGCGACATTATGATCAGCAGTAACCGCGACATTTATGATAAGCAATAACCGCGTCATTTTGGTGTTGAAGACTGTTTTTAAAATTGCGACAAGACCGTACCGTATGCTAGGATTTTACCGAGTATACACTTTATAAAATGAGAAATCTTTCTATATGTTACCAGCATGTTTCATAAATCTTGAGCATGATTTGAGTGACCTGTTCACCGTTCTTGCATGTTTTCAGCTGTGCTAAGTGGCGCTGGACATCAGACCATGTCGGTAAGTCGCAAGGAAGCAACACATGAGCCATGATTTCGAAGAAGCTGGAAAATTAAGAATAATATTTATTTAATATTTGCCACCTTTGTTTATGCACTTATAAAAAAAAACTACCTGAAAAGTATTATCAAAAATCAAAATGGTTTATTCGATTGTAATGTTATTTTTTTTTTTTTTTTTTAATTTTTTAAAGTTTTTTCCCTTTATATCATTCTTAGTTACTGAATTTAAAGCACTTTTATATGAAAATAATACCTTGCTTTGTAAAGTTTTTTTATTTACCTACAGAGTGGTGTTTACACATTTTTAAAACGATTTCGGAGTTTTAAAATGCAAAGAGTATTTTTTTTAAATGTTCGATCTGATGCCTTTTTTTTCTGGACTATAAGTCTACATCGTGATTTACAAGATAGAACGCTTTTCGTGAAATTTCACGGGATATTGGATCCTCTTCCACTATTTTCCAGAGTCCATCAACCGTACTGGGTTTTGCGCTTAGAAGAAGCTCTTTCCAAGAGACCGAATGGAAATTAGTCCATGGGACTTCGTAAGAATATTTTGAAAAAGAAGTATGCATGCAACACCAGTATCAAGCTTCGTTTTTTCAAGGAATGCGGTGACACGTTTTGATGAATGATTTGTTTTGACTTGAAGCAAGCAGTCTAAATAAGACGATGAAGTTTAAATAAGATAAGACGATATAGTTTTGATGATAGTCGTTCTAAATAAGATGATATAGTCTTGATGAAGTTTCACTTTTCGAAAGACATTAGGATAACAAAAAGTGTAATTTCTCCTGTAAATAAGTCCTGTATTGTGTGCAATCGCACAGTAAGCCAAGATAGCAATATGAAGATTTTTTTTTTAACATCACACATACTAATATTGTTCACTACTATAATACAAATCGTTTTGCGTTGAGTCACATGCCTCGGTAAAAGCCGGTGAACATGATTTTTAAAGTCGTAAATCTGGTTTATTATTTTATTTATTGTTGCTACAGATGTAGTTAAAGACTTTGTAATTGACTACGGATTTTCTCTTATCACCAAAGATTTAACTTCAGATATTCGCTTGGAGTCTATGTTTGCACGAAATATCCAAGACATACTAAACTAAGCCAAATATCGGCATTTGAAAAAGAATTTGATCTGGTTGTATTTTTTACCAATTAGTTTTATTATTCATTAATTTATCGTTAATTTGCAGTTTTGTTTATGGTTCTCGAGAGTGTGCCTTAGCATTACATGATTTTCAATTTAAAAATTTAAAAAACGAAATGCTTTCGTCCATTATTTATAATGATGCACAGCATTATAATAACTTCTCTGCATATTACACGGGCTCATCAGTATTCTTTTACTTAAACCTCTCTTTTTCTGTCACCGCTCTTGCCTGGCTCTTCCTGAAACATCATAATCAAAAATGTGTTAATCTTATATCATCATTTCATTGCTCTTCTCTTTCTGCAGCCACTTTTCTATGTCTTATACATTTCCAAAATCCTGAGCACCAGAACATAATTCATTAAACGCTATCATGTTATTTCTTCTTCGGCACGTCTTATTCTTCCTAGATATAACAATCAGGCTACGATTAATTTTTTAACTTCATTCCAAGCATTAGAAAAGAATACTGTATCGAAAGTAGTAAGTTTTCCCTGAAAACTCACAAGAACTGTCTTCTTTTCCAGTACCAATATTAGAAGGCTGCGCAGATTATCCATAGTTTACTGTATGAGTGAGAAAGTCTGTTAAAAGTTTGACGAGTCTGTTAAGAGTGAGTTATTTTTTTCAAACGTATTCATGAATTATCGGAGATTTTGAAGTTTGTTTGTAAGGATCTTAAGTTTTACTAACGTTTATTTTATTTTAAAAAAAATCTTACTATCACTCTTATTTCTACTTCTGCTCCTATTAAAACTCTTTCTGTATGATGCAAATTTGTATGGTGAAAACGCGAATAAGTACTGGTGGCTTTTTGCCAAGCAAGAATAGAGGAGTGCTTCGGAGCAGGCCGCTTGCCATAGACAGTTTACTACTCCGTTGCGGTTGCCTTCAAGCCAGAGTTTTAATCCTCTTGATACTTTTAACGGATCGTATTCTCGGTCTACATCGGCCTTTCTGTTAATCTACGGCCATCTTCAAGTAGACACTTGTTTAATGATCCAAAGTTAGTTTAGTTAGAATTTAGAATATTTTTATAGTCTTGCGTGCGACCGACAGTGTTGGTCTCTGTATTCCGAAGTCCGGAAATCATTGTAAAAGAAAAAAATAAAGGGTTTCGTTACCCTTCCCGTGTATCTTGTCTACTTCCCACATTTATTGAACATAGTTTTAGTAAGCTCCCTGTTCCGAGTCAGGTCATTTAATGTTCCCCAAGCAAGTAAGGAGGAACACTGAACCTGATATGTTCACTGAAAAACCTTGAATAAAATTATGCATACCGATCTTCTTTGAGTTTCATCTTTAATCCAAATCTTTCTTCCATTAGTTTAAAAAATGTAATCAAATGTTTCCATTTTAAGGCGATGTAGTTTTTATTATATTACAAAAATTTTATGCGTATATCAGTTTTATTGTAGTTGTTATTCTATAATAAAATGAGGAATAAGTCACGATTGAACAGACTGGGAGCATGGGAGTTTCGTGATTTCCCTCATATGTCACGTAAATATGAACCAGTCTTTTCAAGCCATTTCTTATAAGAAATCTTCCACGAAGGCATGAAATAAATTAGAAATTAAAGGAACACACAGTAAACTAGAAATATACAAAAAGAAGATGTTACAGGGAGACACGAGTCGAGGATATGTGATAGGGAAACATATATGTTAAATTTAAGGCTAATTTCACAGGAAATTCTCGGGATTTCACAAATGCACTAATTCCATAAATATTTAAACAGAATTTTAATTGAATACACATACATTCCTCTATAAATACATTTACAGCTATATAAATACATCACGTATATTGACAGATAAAACTGTATAATTATTCTGCAGTATCTTTTGTACAAGGTGTGTGAATTTAGCATACAAACTAACACATACGAAAAACTACCGAATGGGACCAAACAAGCTAAAAAAATAAATAAATAAATCTGAAAGCTTTCAGATTTTATATTACGCCCAAGACGACGGTTTTTTAACGTTTTGTGTGTTACCTTTATTTATTAAATACCATTTTCTTCGCAGTTAAACCATAAAATTACATTCAACAACAATATCGCAAAATTTTTACTAGAGATAGCTTTAAATTCCGATCTTTCTTCCCGCTGCAGAAATTGTCTTTTTTTTTTTTTATGGTGTTGTGTTGCCTTGCTCGCTTTGAAATCTTGAGTTGTAATAAATCTCATAAAGTTTTAAAAAGACTTAGATAATAAAAAATTCCAAATTGGGCTTCCAGATGCCCATATTCGGTGGAAACTTATTCAAAATTTGATGGCTCAAGGTACCGTTGTTTTATCACAATGAGAGAAATATACATACATTTATGCAGATTTTTCAGTATTTAATTTCTTTAAATATAATACAGAGTTCTAATATTTAATGGTAACAATTTAAAAGTGATTCGCCGTTTATAGTGAATCAGCGCAAATGCCAAAACGAAATTAATAGCCCTTCTGGGATACCTCACTTTGGGCTAAAAATAAACAAATAGAAATCTTATTTATTTACCTACGAAAATCTTTCTTACGAAACTGCATACACCTGTAAATTTAAGTTTGGGATTAATGCAATGAAATATACTTACGCTTATTAATTTAAATTCGTGTTCAAAAGTTAAATATATATCCGAGCATTTTTTTTAATTGCTTACTAATGCGATTGCTATTTGACAATCTTTTATTTATTGTTTCTTTATTTACATTTACCATGTACACAATGCGAAGCATTTCCTGTCAGAGCATTTTTAGCCCATTAATAATACAATGGTTTATTATCCATCTCAATGTTCAAAGCGGAAACAGGAAGTTAATTCTTCTTCTTGGACATGTGGTGTACTAAGATGCTTAACCGATTCCTTTATTCCTTAAACGATTTAGACAGTTTTTAGGTTTGACGAAACAGATAAAATTAAGTTAAGAGTTCATCTTCAATTTGAAACTGACAATTTGATTGATCTCTTACTTCTATTTCGTATCGACCTTCTAACATTGACATTAAATGACGCACAGATGTATCCAAACCAAGGCCAACTATACTACAATCAGTCTTGTCAAAACTATCAGTATGAAATTCTTTACATTTTTTCCTCATTTTGAATTATTTTATTACTTTTCGTCTCTAATTTAAAAAATAACCATGAATTTTACAAAAAAATTATGCTCTTGTCAAGTGATTGAACAGTAACATTAATTCTCGAAGATTTGCATTTTTAATTAAACAGTAACATTCAATCTTTTACCCTTTTAATTATTATAAATTTTAGATAGATTTTATTTCTTCCTTAAATTAGTTATAGACAATATTTTTTACATAGGACAATTAACTATAAGTGCTTGTTTGTGCTACAAAACGCACAATATGTCATATTTTACGCTATTTTAGATAACATTTAGGAATATAATTTGGAATAATAAATGCAGTATGTTATTTGAATCTAATAACATTTATTTCAAAAATCGTTTGTAAAAATTTGCAGAGCGAACAATATGGAGTCTCGATGTAATTTCTCATGAAATGCAATCAAAATGCTATTTTCGATACGTATTTCAGTAAACTAATTATGCATTTAAAGTTTACAATAATACTAATCAATAATAATGTAAATAATTTATAATAAATCAACTAGAAGCTGCGTGTATTCATAGGAAGAGAAAGTGCACCAAAATCAATTTTAGACATAGAATCGAATAATTTTAACTGGACCAAAGACATTATACTTGTTTGCGTAAGGACAAGAAAGCCTTTTAGAAAGAGCTTTTATACGAATTAAAGATAACATGAAGGATTTTTTAATAGTCTGCAGTTAACCATGCAACATGTGGATAACCAGGAAACATCCAGTCAACTTATTCAACCACTAGGAATACAACA